GCCCCGATGGGTTACACCCACGTTTGCTGTCGTCGCTTGCGGACATTATCTCAAGACCGCTCACGATGCTCTTCAACATGTCCCTTTCACAGGCTCAACTACCTAGAGACTGGAAAGACGCCATAGTTAGTCCTATATTTAAGGATGGTCAGAGACGGATAGTATCTAACTACCGGCCTGTTAGCCTGACCAGTATAGTAGTTAAGTTACTTGAAAAATTAATTCGGGCTAAGCTACTGAGCCACATAGATTCGTACAATCTGTTAACTCCCGAGTAACATGGGTTTCGTAACAAGCATTCATGCTTGACTAACTTACTCATTGCGAGAGAGGATTGGACAGCTGCACTAGACAACGGCCAGTCTGTCGACGTGATATTTATAGATTTTAGCAAAGCGTTTGATAAGGTTTCACACTTAGGTCTTATGCAAAAGCTTTCGAGCTTTGGTATAACAGGTGCTATACAGGAATGGATAGGAAGCTTCTTATGTGACCGCAGACAGAGAGTGAGAGTCAATGGAACTCTATCCGAATGGAAACCGGTCAAAAGTGGTGTACCCCAAGGCACCATCTTGGGCCTTTACTTTTCCTTCTGTATATTAATGAACTACCTTTATTACTTAAGTCGTCGACGTTATTGTTTGCGGATGATGTTAAAATCTGGAGAACAATAAGAAATGAGATTGATCGTTGTTATCTGCAAGCAGATTTAGACGAATTAGTTAGGTGGGCTCATGATTGGGGCCTGGAAGTTAATTTCAGGAAGAGCGTGTTCATGCACATCGGGCACGATATTAGTTACCACTATACCATTAATGGTACATCTCTGCCACGCGTTCATGCGCATAAAGACTTAGGAGTAATTATAAGTCACGACTTAAAAACTACTACGCACTGCAGTGCGGTTGCTTCCAAAGGCTATCGAGCGCTATGGTCGCTTCGCAGAGCATTTAAATGCTTTGACGAGGATATCTTTCGAATTTTATATCCCACCTATGTAAGGCCACACTTAGAATACTGTATCCAAGCAGCTAGCCCTTGTCTGATAAAGGATACTAAATCGCTTGAGCGTGTCCAGCGTGTAGGGACAAAATTAGTAAAGGGTCTTTCCAAACTCTTTTACGATGAGCGTATAAAACGTCTAAATCTTTTCCCCTTATCTTATCGTAGGACGCGAGGTGACCTTATACTGGCATTTCGTATCTTTAATTATGATCTGGGTGTTAATATGTCTTACCTTTTTGCTCCCTCCAGCACTAATAATCTCCGGGGTCATAGCAAGAAGGTTCTGAAACCGCGATCTAATAAACTAAAGGTGGGGTCCCGTTTTTCTCATCGAGTGGTCAATGACTGGAACGCTTTACCAGAACAAGTGGTATCAGCACCATCAGTGAACATTTTCAAAAAGAAGCTGGACCTTCACTGGAAAGAAATCTGTCAGGATTAACACAGGTTCATCAACCTACTATCCTTATTACTGAAGACTGAAGACTGAAATAATTAATACTGTTGTGGATGGAAATAGTCTAACTTCACCAAATGTTGTTGGGAGTAACTCGCTTGACCCACATGACACTGTCATAAAGAAAGCTAATAGCAAGAAGCCGGTAGCTAACCGGCAGGATCTGACATCACGGTCAAAGGCCGTGAACACGACGTTTAAGGCAGTTAAACAGATGCCTAGTGTAATCATCTGGAACTTGGCAGAATCGAAAGACACTGATCCCGCTAAGAGACATGCCCACGACCTGCAGTTAGTGGGATCTCTCATCAGAAATATACTGCCAGAAGAGGTCCCAGGGGTACATATCTCGAAAGTCATCAGACTTGGTAAGTATGTTGGAGACGAAACCCAACAGAGAAGGATCCTCAAATTAGTACTCGGTAATTTTGAGGAACGGGACGTATTACCAAATAACTCACGCAAAACTCGTGACTCAAACATTCGTATTCGACCTGACTGGCCACTTGAGGATCGGATCAAGTGGAAGAATGCCCTAACAGAGTTAAAAACTCGAAGGCTAAACGGTGAAGCGAACCTTACGATTAAGGGTTTTCGGGTAGTCAGGTCTTGGAAGCCAATGCTTCCGAGACCTGTGTGGGTAGAACGCATGTCTCCAAAAACACCCTAAATGTGTGTTATACGAATGCTCGTAGTCTTCGGAATAAGATGTCTGAACTAAGTTTGATGGTAGACGACTTAAATCCGGATATAATTGTTATCACCGAAACTTGGCTCACTGTAGATATAGACTGTTCTCCAGTCATTTCAGGCTACATCTGTGTCAGAAGTGATAGAGTTAGAAGTCGCAAGGGAGGAGGCATAATATTATATATTAGGGACCACTTCCGCATTAACTCGATCGTATCGGAGGCGCATGTAAGTGGTACGTGTGAGGTAGTATGTTGTACAATTAGGTCTAGAAACGGGTTAGTGACGATAGGAGGAATATATCGTAGTCCGTGTTGTCTCGCTGACGAGTTTATCCTAAAACACGTCTGTTCTTGGAGTGAAGCAGAATGTTGTCTCATCGTTGGAGATTTCAATGCACCCCATATAAACTGGATAGAGCTCACAGCTCCAGGTGGGGGTTTTGATAGCGTCCTTCTGTCATCAATTATTCAATGTGCACTTGTACAATGTATCGTTAAGCCAACACATATAGACTTGGAACATAATCCGTCATTGATAGACCTTGTCCTCACACACCACTGTGAAGATATCGTTGACATTCAACATCTTCCCCCACTGGTGAATAGTGACCATGTCGTACTTTCCTTTAAGTTCCGGATACATGGTATAGAATTTGCATCAGCTCCACCCCGTCCTAATATCTGGAGAGCTAATATTCCGGCAATCAGGGACTATGCTATCTCAATTGACTGGTCGGTCGATGCTGATGGATCGATTGATGATGCATGGAATAGGTTTAAGTCTACGTTCGAATCCGTAACTCAACCGTTTATCCCATGGTCAGCACGTAAGCTATCACATCGCCCTCCATGGATTAATAAGGAAACCCGGAAGCTGTTGAAGCGTAGGAAACACTTCTGGGACTTATTCTTGTCAACAGGTCAGGCATCATTTAAGTGCGAATATAAAAAAATCCGGAATATATGTAAAAAGACCATAGCTAAATCCCGCACGGCTTACGAACGACAGTTGGCATACGATAGCCGTACCTGTCCGAAGCGACTGTTTTCGTACGTTAAAAGGCGGACGAAACGTAGTGATGGCATCCCCTCATTACTGTTAAGCGAAAATTCAGCTTTATTGGCTGAATCTGATCTGGCGAAAGCGGAGTTATTTGCTAACTATTTCAGTGAAGTCTACTCTATGTGTAGTGTTACAACTACCTGTCCCGTTGACAATGAGATACCAGCCATAGGACCCTTACACGTGACAGAGGATATAGTTCTTCCTTTGATAACTAACCTAAAACCTTGTAAGATACCGGGCCCCGATGGGTTACACCCACGTTTGCTGTCGTCGCTTGCGGACATTATCTCAAGACCGCTCACGATGCTCTTCAACATGTCCCTTTCACAGGCTCAACTACCTAGAGACTGGAAAGACGCCATAGTTAGTCCTATATTTAAGGATGGTCAGAGACGGATAGTATCTAACTACCGGCCTGTTAGCCTGACCAGTATAGTAGTTAAGTTACTTGAAAAATTAATTCGGGCTAAGCTACTGAGCCACATAGATTCGTACAATCTGTTAACTCCCGAGTAACATGGGTTTCGTAACAAGCATTCATGCTTGACTAACTTACTCATTGCGAGAGAGGATTGGACAGCTGCACTAGACAACGGCCAGTCTGTCGACGTGATATTTATAGATTTTAGCAAAGCGTTTGATAAGGTTTCACACTTAGGTCTTATGCAAAAGCTTTCGAGCTTTGGTATAACAGGTGCTATACAGGAATGGATAGGAAGCTTCTTATGTGACCGCAGACAGAGAGTGAGAGTCAATGGAACTCTATCCGAATGGAAACCGGTCAAAAGTGGTGTACCCCAAGGCACCATCTTGGGCCTTTACTTTTCCTTCTGTATATTAATGAACTACCTTTATTACTTAAGTCGTCGACGTTATTGTTTGCGGATGATGTTAAAATCTGGAGAACAATAAGAAATGAGATTGATCGTTGTTATCTGCAAGCAGATTTAGACGAATTAGTTAGGTGGGCTCATGATTGGGGCCTGGAAGTTAATTTCAGGAAGAGCGTGTTCATGCACATCGGGCACGATATTAGTTACCACTATACCATTAATGGTACATCTCTGCCACGCGTTCATGCGCATAAAGACTTAGGAGTAATTATAAGTCACGACTTAAAAACTACTACGCACTGCAGTGCGGTTGCTTCCAAAGGCTATCGAGCGCTATGGTCGCTTCGCAGAGCATTTAAATGCTTTGACGAGGATATCTTTCGAATTTTATATCCCACCTATGTAAGGCCACACTTAGAATACTGTATCCAAGCAGCTAGCCCTTGTCTGATAAAGGATACTAAATCGCTTGAGCGTGTCCAGCGTGTAGGGACAAAATTAGTAAAGGGTCTTTCCAAACTCTTTTACGATGAGCGTATAAAACGTCTAAATCTTTTCCCCTTATCTTATCGTAGGACGCGAGGTGACCTTATACTGGCATTTCGTATCTTTAATTATGATCTGGGTGTTAATATGTCTTACCTTTTTGCTCCCTCCAGCACTAATAATCTCCGGGGTCATAGCAAGAAGGTTCTGAAACCGCGATCTAATAAACTAAAGGTGGGGTCCCGTTTTTCTCATCGAGTGGTCAATGACTGGAACGCTTTACCAGAACAAGTGGTATCAGCACCATCAGTGAACATTTTCAAAAAGAAGCTGGACCTTCACTGGAAAGAAATCTGTCAGGATTAACACAGGTTCATCAACCTACTATCCTTATTACTGAAGACTGAAGACTGAAGACTGCACTTCTCCGTAACGCGCACTCTTTGATTCCACGGAGCAACATGACTGTGTCGTAAGTTCAGGGTTGTTTTAGTTTTAACTTAGAAATCTCTAAAGCTCAGAACTATACCACATTTCATCCTAATTTTAGCAACCAATAATCAAAAGATTGAAAAAAAATCTCGGATAGTTGTAATCTGGAGAATGTATTTTAGTAATAAAATCAACCAGAACATTTAGTAATATAAATGTATGCTCAAATCTTAATTGGACCACATAAACGTGATAAAATCGAAGTAATCGCAGCTGTGGATTAATGCAAAAGTTAGGCCTTTGTTTTTCTATTGGATTTATGTCGACACTGCAATCACCTGAATCTAATAGAATGGGAAATACATTGACATTGGGATATTCAATATTGTATTGGAGTTCTTATATCTTACAGTTGTTCTTTGATTAAGTGAATTTAGAGCTGCAAAGACAATTCTGACATATGCTGTGCCAAAATATATCCGGTGTCAACCAAGATCTATCGAATGTTTGTAGGTCAGCAAAATAGTAGAATAAGACAAGCAGATAGGCAAATAGTCATAAAAACAAGGGCATATTAGAGATATATACGAGTAAATGTGCAACTAGCTACAAGCCAACCAGTAGGATAGAGCTAACAAAGTTAGCTGTCCTGTGTTTATTTTGAGTACCCAGTTATGTTTGTTTTTTCACATCGAGGTGGAGACGTACAGTCTCTGACTAATGTCGAATATCTTGAGCTGTTACTGTCTGAACAATTTCTCTGTTCCTGTGTCTTTGTATAATACTTAGTAATAGAGCCTGACAATAACGGTCCTTAAATATGTGGGTGTTTATCGTCATTGATATGATAGTGCGGAATGTAATAAGAAAAAACATGCCAGTTCCAAATTATTACTAAGTAATCTAAACGATATAGTGAAGTCAAATCTAATCTTTTTACGTCATAAGTGATACACGTATATCAACTAAAGCTCTATTATTGGTTGAGTCATTTTACTTTCAAATCTTTCTTCTTAGCCTACAACCTTCCTGAAAACAGAGACTAGCCTCTTGTATACAGTACTCTGAACCTCTCCGGATAAATATTTTGTATAGTGTTGTAAACACACTGAAATATACACATGTTGGCGCACCTAGATTTCTATAAAATAAAAATTCGTGCTGTTTTCAATGGCCTTCAAGTTCTGGGTGATGGTAGCGACATGTGTTGCTGCCTTTTCGGTGCTCAGATGAATGATTTTGAAGGAGTTTTGTTCTCTAAGCTGAATGGTTTGGTCATGGAGCTTTCATCGCCGTTCTGGACGACATCATCAGCACAAATTTCGGGTAGAAGTGAAGTGTTCGAATTTCTCCATATGTGGTTCACAACTTGTCCTGTACACCTGGATGTTAATTGGTTCTTGTTGACCTTAAATTTGTCATTGTTTACTTGATTGTTTTGGTTGCATCTCCCGTTGGTTTGATTTCTGTTCATGTGTTTGTGCATGATTTTCCTGATTGGTTGATAAATTGGATTGACTTGAATATGCTTGTTTAATGCTGATTGACCTGAGTGCCAAGTTTCTAAAAATTCCCTGGTGTTTTCGGAATTGCCTCTATAAACAATCTCCACATTTTTCCAGTCGAATATGTGTTTCCGCAGTTGTTCACGTGCATTGATATAAGTGAAGACATGTCATGGCGTTTGACTGCTAATTGATGTTCATGCAGGCGAAGATGATGAGTGCGTCCGCTTTATCCGACGTAGTGTTTTTCGCAGTCGGTGAAATTTATTTTGTAGGTGATGTTTGGTTTGTCTTCTTTTGTCATTTCACCCTTTGGTTTGCATGGGATTGAATGGAGGAATTGTATTGGTTTGTGCGCAACAACTATTCCGAAGGTTTTCAGCAGTCCCGTCGTTTCTGATATACCTGTTATGTATGATAGGGTGATCCTTTTGTTGATTTCTGTACTTGAATTCGTTTCTGATGACGGGTACGGCTCGTATTTTTTTGATGAAATTTGATTGGGTAACCCTTCTTTTGGAGGGTGACCTTCAAGTATTTTTCTTCATTTTTTCGTGCTGTAATTCTGTTGCAATGTGTCCTCGCCCTCTTTAACAAAGTTTTTACGCAATTGATTTCGTGAGCTCTTGGTTTGTTGTTATTGTGGTTGAGAATTTGATCAGTGTGGGTCGGCTTCCTGTACGCTTGAGTCCCCAGTTTACTTGAGGCCTTCTACCTAAAGGTCTGATCCACAAGTCAGTGGAGCAACGTCAGGAGATGCAATCTCATGATAGTCGGTGACCAAAAATAGGTTAACACGTCATTTGTTCCATCAGGATACTGGAATCCATGTGCACCATTGGTTTGGGATCAGGGTTTTCCAACTCCCCTAGGTGGACCTTCCGTATTTGTCAGCCCTGTTAAAAAGCCGGGTATTCGCTTATTGTCCTCTCAATTTCGTAAACAACACCCCCACTGAGAGAAGTCAGTGAATAGGACTTCCCTCGGCTGTACCAGGGCATTCGGTGGCCTCAAGACACTAAACTAAAGGTTGCTGAAATTGTACAAAAAAAAAGAAGTTATAAGGTACTGCATAAAGTCTTTAACGTCTTCGAAGTATTCTCTGGAAATGTTAGGACCTCCGTATAAGCAAGATTGAGATTATACGCAAAGTACTAAACATAAATGGCATACCGCTCAATAAGATTGTGAATCCTAATGGACAGGTAGCTGGGATACGTATTGCATTTACCCATCCAACACCTACCCCGAATCCCAATGTTAACTGGCATAAAAGTAGAACGACCAAACTAAGACTCAACATCACTGTGAAATCATCGACTGTTGGTCAGTGCGAACTACCTGGTTGCGTTCCGCATGGTTATTGTCCTTGTATTTTGAAGCTGTTGGGTGGCATGACTCAGAACTAATGCCAATAGTACAGATGTATTCACTCCATCTTTCCTTAGATTCCAAGTGTTCACACCTTTTATCCCACTACTTCGTTCATTCTTGTTCTTTATCGTTAATTTTTGGTAATAGATTATACTTTTGCTACTTTGTTCATCTTGACGATTTCATCCCCCTGTCTCGACTTGACTTGGGAACTTGGACCAATGGACACATCCCAGGTTCTACGTTGTTTATGATGAACTAGCATGCATAGGAGAGTTTACATAATTGTTTAGTCATATTTCCTTGTTTCTCCCCTGTCAGCATACTGGAAGTTCATTCTGACGAGTTTTCTCATGGAAAATGGCAACTTGAACTGATGTACATACGTACGAAATTGTACGTTGTTGCTGAGTGACTTTTCCATATTCCAGAGTACATGAAATTTATTGTTTTGTTATCTAAGAAGGAATAAAGAAAATTTAGCGAAAACTTTCTTCTCAGCACTATTGTATATTAAAGCTGTTCAATCGTATTTATAATTTATTTGGAAATGGAAAGTGGTTACACCTTAAAGTGTTTAGAGATTTCAAGTGTCACAAGAGAGTTGACCAACGATTGAGAGGTTAGAAAAAACAATGTAAAAGTAAGTGCGTGGAAGGTAATTATTCACTTGCAGGGTATAAAAAAGGCGAGCAAGAACGTAATAATCAGTATTTCAGAAAATTGTAATTTACTAACGACAGGTTTACTTATTATACAAAATTAGAAGTGTTAGGGGTGTGGTATAATGAGAAATTTCATTTACTACTTTTACGTACAGAGCTCAGGTTTAAACCATTAAGCAATCGAGCGATTGGGTTAAGGAAGGAGAGCAGGTAGATAACTAGCACACCCCAGTGGCAACTGCAGGTATTTTTTGGTTGATCAGTGTGACGAGGACTGACGAAAAGTCAATATTTATTAATTTATTCACCTTTTTCTTTCAACCTGCCTATATTCAGTTGGACAGATGAGTTAAACGAAGATTCGGAATTGCCTCCTATTGAAGAAAAGTTCGATCCAGAGCGTAACATCAAAACTGTCGTACGATATTTCTACAATGAAGACGGTGATTTGATCAAGGAAACTAAGGAATATCAAAAAGAAAAACGTGTTGTTGCTTCACGAGTAGCAGACAGGAAAAAATGGAGAAAGTTTGGTGCTTCAAAATCTGATCCTTCTGGTGGAAATTTAGCCAATACGTACCCAGCCGATGTAGTTACCATGCAAATTGTTCAATCAAGACAGGCATGTGTATATTTTTGTTCATCTGCCTTTTTTATTGTTTAAAAACGTTATGCCATATACTATAGATGAGATGTCAATCGTTCGGCTGTCTTCAGTTAGTCATATGCAACGTAGATCCTAACATATGGGCGTTGTATGTAGTTGCTATACCAAGTTAGCATGGTGAGATAAATTATCAATGCGAATCCCTCCGTAATAGAATTAGCAACAGTATCAATAGTGCTTGGTACCTTAACATGGTGGTTGTGCCTATCTTGATGACTCAGCCGAGCTTTATTTATTATTTATTTAAGCACACAAATATTGGTACAAAGGAGCACCAGATACATATGTGCCACACAAATCTCATTTGATTTGTGTTAGGGCTATAATACTGCCCAGGTGCCCAAACTGAAGGAGGTGGTTTTCTCAGGCGGCCACACCCGGAGCCTTTGACCTAAAGTTCTGATCCGCAAGGCAGTGGAGCATCGTGAGGAAATGCAGTCCCATAGTAGCCGATGACCAACAATTGATTCATACACCATTTGTTCCCTCAGGATACTGGAGCCCATGTGCACCATTGGTTTGGAATGAGGGTTTTCCAACTCCCGTAGGTGGACTCTCCGTGTCCACCAACCCGGTTAAAGCACCGGACATTCGCTTTTCGTTCTCCCAATTTCGTAAACAACACCGGTGCTACGAGAAGTTACTGAGTAGGACTTCTCTGGCAGAGACTATTTACGCATGGCAGTTTGAAAGCATTTGGAGATGAAGAACGGACTCTCCCAACTCTCAGCCGTACTAGGGCATTTGGGGGCTTTATTAGCTGTAAAACTTTTCTATTATGCCATGCAAGTCGGTTGGAGACTAAAACCAGCAACTTAAGGTCTGAGAGCTAAGTCGTGTTGATGGCTGTAGAGGGCTGTAGCAGCGGTAAGGTGTTCCCTTTGAAGACTAGCATCTGCAGCGATGTTGTCTCCCCACAACCGAGTTATCTAAATTTCTGTCGAGTTCTCATCAAACACCAGCTCACCAAGACTGATGGGAATCCCAAGATAAGTGAAATAGTCGATATAGTTGACTTTTTCACTCCCCATCATTAGTGATAAAATCTAAAAACTCGGCTTCATTGTTTCACAATTAAATGTAACGTTTTGTTGAATCGCTTTTATCTATTTGGTGCAATTAAAATTTACTCTTAAAATACAGTCTGCAAGCAATCACTTGTTTATTGTTTGATAACTTAAGTTTTTATTGTGTGACTCTTACATTTGGAATATTTTTTTTACTGAATGTGAAACAAAATTCTCGGGTTAATCTAATTTTATAGCTTGAATAAAGTATGGTGTAATTTTTACACTTTTCCATTTAACTCTCAGATTTCTCTTTGCTTACTAGGATTTTGAATTATTTGTTCCTCATAGTAATCAACCTTATAAACAATTTTGGTAAATTTCAACCCCTCTGGCATATGCATCTGATTCTACTTTGCGTAAATTTGATCGATTCTTTTTATTTGAAGTTGATATTTATCCAGGCTATACTATACATAACATGTGTGGGAGACAATCGAATGTCACAATAGATTGATCACTGGGTGGTGATCAATGTCATGCGTGTCAAGTCCTTCTTAGTGCTGATCAAATGCTATCGATCAAGTTGCAATGTGGCCACTAGTCTTGGTGGCTCGACACTGTGTGCACTATGTTGAGATAAGATGGTGGTTGGAGGTGGTCAACAGAAAACCCTGGACCCGGGTTAGGTGCACCTTGCTGACGAGTGCCAAGTAGGACGAAACCCGGGTTCAGGGTTTCCTGTTGAGCACCTCCAACCACCATCTTATCTCAACAATCGAGTGTATTTAGACATAAATTACAGACTATATCTCTAAATTCTGATAACCATACAACAAACAGTTAATTTGCAAAATAACAACCAATTGTCTCAATCTTCATTGTTTTTTCTGTAAATATCAGTTCATCTTCTCTAATTTCATTGTTCATGCATTTTCCTACCAATTGCGCTTCATTTCAGTTCTTTCCTTATCGGTCTTCTGCCAAAATACATTCTATATCTGACTATCGCCATATACTACTTATATAGATATAAGTAGACCACATCACACTATCTTAACACTTTCCTGTAGACTTGATAAAACAGATATTACACATTCGAAAAACGTATTTATTTTAATGCTTATAGATTTGAAACAGTTTAATAAATTCTATTCATGTATTCCTTAATCTCATTCTTTTTTGTATAGCCTGAACAAGAGCAAAAAAGACAGGAAGAGATGAATGTGAAAATAAAACTTGGAGAACCTGTGATTGTTTGTAATTATTGTAAAGGTGGACATTTTACTCGTACTTGCCCGTACAAAAGTGATATGGAAGCAATGCAATTGTTACAGGAACAACTTCGTGCTAAAACGGAACCTACAGAAGAAACAACTAAAGATTTAGTAAGTTAAAGGTTTTTTTTCTATTATGGAATGATTTGAATAGTCTTCACAAATACCTCCCTTTCAAAAACTAATAATACTATACACATCAGTGTAGATTTTCAATATTTAAGCTTGGAAATAATCACCAAAGTGCTAGTGATAAGCCGTTCATGGTGGAATCCAACCATATCCAGAATGAGATGGATATCATTGATGGTCAAGTATCACTTGTATAATTGTATCGTGAATTAATTGTGTTCAAAACTTGAATTATTGGGTACAACTTTGATGATATAAAGATGTAACGTGTTCTCTGTAAAGGTCCTGAGTATGGTCCCTATCTTGGTTTTGAGTGTGATCTGCTGAAGAGCTTCACACGAAGAAGAAAAAACTATTCGATTCTCCTTGGATTTAGTTGGTTATCTAACTAATGTTACCCGAACCTATTATGTAACTTAAAAGGTGAATATTCTAAATTTTTCAGTTAGGTTTTGTTCATGACGTGAGTAGAAAAAAATCGATGTTACACAGAAACCGTTATTGTCAGTACAGCAAAATGGTTTACCTAACATCTTCATTCATTTAGTCAGTCACAACGTAGAACTATGTAAGTACGTACGTACATCAGTTCGAGTTGCCATACCATATTAGCACAGAGATACACTTCTCGATTCAAATCCCATAGTGGTAGAAGTAGTAAGAGTATAAGCATTATGTAAAAGATTAAGGTTTGAAGATGTTATTGAAGGAGTATAATCCAATGAAATAAATTTGGAAGGAGAAAAAGAGATAGAGACATGAAAAATTCAAAAGATTAGAATTTGGCAGAACACAAAGAGTGAACATCTTCATTACATGATACTAATATTCCTCATGACAAATAGAATTAACCCTAAATTCTACATCAAGTTGTAATCAGTACAGAGCCAAGAAAAATTTACACCAGCTTAAATTTCCATACAGCATTAGCGTAAATCAGTGAAATTAAGAGAGTCAGTAGCCTGTGGTTGACTGAATATTTTTTTGAGTAGAATACTCAAATATTGTTAGTGACTACTGGCTTAATGATATGCATTAAGGTCGTATTGACAAATCCTAGTGTCTTGGGCTAACCAAAGACTTCCCACTAGGCAAGAAAAAACTTATTTTTCAGTGCTAGAATCTTGTTGAGAATATTGATCAAATGTTTCATGAATTTTGTGTGTACGTGCATGCTTTTGTGAAGCGATCTATTATATACCATGTATTGTCAATACGAAATTGTACTAAAGAAATCACTTTCGTTTTTTACTGTTTGATCCATCATCTTTCTGATAAACGTTCACTTTCACTTTGCAGCAAAACGATCGTTCTGGACGTTACATCCCACCATCATTACGTGGTGATGCAGCCAATACTACTGGGTCCAGTATGTCAACCGACAAACGTCCATTCGATGAAAATACTGTACGTGTTACTAATTTACCTCCAGATACAACTGCAGATGAATTGAAATCAGTTTTCAGTGCATTCGGTCACGTAATGCGTATTTACCCAGCAAAAGATAAATTGACACAACAAAACAGGGTAAATTATTTCACTTTCTGTATGTATCCATGTTTATTATTGTTAAAAGATTGTCCTAGATATTCAACAATTATAATCTTTGACTGTCATTATGCATATGGTGTATTCTGAGAGTAAGTCTTCTAATTGAACGCTAGATTCTGTTCCTTAAGCTTTTCTAGTAACCCCCAGACTAAATCGACACTGCGACTTGAACACAAGAGAAAAGGTGCGAAATATAGAGGAAACCTCTTACTCCAAGATTCGTTTTTTGGGCTTCCGGAAATGTCTGCAAGGCTACTAAACATAGTAGCAGTGTAGGTAATCATCCAATCAGAAACGCGACATGTGACATGTCACTTTCTAGATGTTTCTGGTAAAACTTCTATAAAATGATGATTGGATACGATGCTTCTTATCGTTTTTAGATCCTTTTTAGTTGTTTTTTTTCTCGCGGTTTTCTGGATCTCCCCAACAGTAATGATTTGTATTGGCAAATGTGCTACCTGAGCGGATTCTCTTGACAGCCATTTTTGTCATATGTAGCAGTACCATTTGCTTTAAATGATTCGAATCTATATGTCGACATCAACATTGAAATGCGTGTACATCTGACGAATCCCAAGTATGACGAAACGCTCGTTGTAAATTCCAGTGTTAGCCATAATTCATAGGATATTGGGAAATAACCAATCATGAAACAGGCTAAAATGAACGTAAAGTGTGTTCCTCTATTACAGAAAAAAACAAGTACATGCAGTCAAATTTAATTTCTTTGCAATCAATAAAATGTTTGTCTTTTTTCTTCATTTTATTCTTTTTTTAGGGATTCGCCTTTATATCGTTCAGAACTGCGGAAGAGGCGAAAAGTGCAATCTACGGTGTTAATGGTCTTAGACATAATCATGTCGTTTTAAAAGTTGATTGGGCAAGGTAAGTTTAATATTGTGTTCGTGCTGTAATGCATGAAATCTATCTTAGTCTGAAAGTGAACAGGAAATGGAATTTATTGCCTTCTCTATGTTTACGTATGCTCATTGGTTTCACCCTTTTTATGTCGATGAAATCAGATAATGATAGTATAGTTGTAGTAAAAAGAACACTAGTTGGGGACAATCGAATGTATTTAAGCAAAGATTACAGACTATCTCAGTAAATTCTGATTACCAAACAATGAACAGTCAATTTGCAAATTAACAGCCAATTGTTTCAATCTTCACTGTTTCTTCTTTTATTCCATTGCTCATGCATTTTCCAGACGATTGCGTTTCATTTCAGTTCTTTGCTCATCGGTCTTCTGCGAAAATACATTCTATGCCTGATCCACACCATATATTACTTATATAAATATAAGTAGACCACACCACATAGTGAATTGGCGAGTTTTTGGTAATACCCATCTTTGCAAATTCATTAAGCTTTATTATTTCCAAAAATTAGTTCTCTTCAATACACTGTGTTGAGTGACTAAGGTTTATGAACTACTGTTTATAAAATGTATTCATCTAACCTTGACGTTTAAATTTGCATCTACAGCTCTAGCATCGGTGATATCGCAAGACTCGACACAATTATGTATCGGTTCCATTTGCCACATTTTAAATCAAAAATTAAAGAGAAAAAGAGCGACGTAACAAGATATGAAGCACCTGAGGAAAATAGTATTAGCACTATTGGTAAACTAATATTGAGAAAAAGTTCTCAGGACAAGTGAGATTTCGAAATAAAATTAACCACGATTGAACTATCACTACCACCGATTTTGAGCCGTGTCACCTTATCCCTCTCCGTCCGTAGATTACGGTTATTATGCCTTCTTCAACTAAAAGATCTGCGACTCTGGGAACGGCTTAGGCCAACAGTCAGTGAATTCATCAAGTGACTCTGTGTTTTTGATATTCGTACCCCTAACTTTTTTCCAATTTACGACTATTCCAGCTAAAATAAGGATTTTGTTAGGTGATAGTTAAGTGTATGTCTTTGAGATACTGTGTGTCCGTAAATAATGTCGTTGTCACGCTCCAGTAGTGGGTAGTAAGACTTTCCTATTTACTGTTTTGTTTTCTCACCCCTATCCAGCCGTTCTACCTAGAACGTGATCTAGACAATATTAGCTTTATTGAGTTGTTACCATATGGAAACCTTATCACCGCATTAAGATACCAGCTACGGTCTAGCTGTGTCAGTGAAGGGATGACTACAATTATCTTGTTAGTTGTACAGAAAGTAATACACAGAAGTGGAGTTCACTGGGACTGGGGCCTAACACCTATTTTAGGTCGTAGTAACCATCATCTTTTATATTTTCCAATTGTTGACATTCGCAATTAATTATTACTATTGGTGGCGTGAGCACATAAATTCACTGAATGAATGATAGCTCAAGTATACACTAATATTGATTACCGGTGTATCTATTCAAAGGAACAATACACTTATATAGTGATTAGATTAAACTCTTGATGTCAACAACGGAATAACAAGAACCTATACATTTATTTAGAATTACCCAATCTTAAAGCTAAATTAGTATAGTACGATAATATGATGAAATATATCTTTCGTACATAAAATTTAACCCCACTTTTTCGTCCCAACAGTTCTATTTTGTTCATTCCATCTAGTTATCATTTGTGACACCATTTTCATGATAGCAATCAAAGATGTTTACTTTTATGAGAGCCTCTTCGCATAATAATACTTCTTCATGTCACTTGATCCACAATATTTATTTCGTTGCGTATGATGATTTTGTCCTTTGATCAAACTATCCAACTTAGACAACAAAACTCCAACAAAAAGATTTTTCTTTGTAAATTTTCAAGAACAGTAGTACTAAAAGTCAAGATATTTTGATAGTATGAATCCTAAGCTACATTTTTCTGTCGTTCAATCAAGCTGTTATGACTTGTAAGCAAAGATGGATAGTGGCTAGAAGTGGAATCTAGTTTGACGCGCGTTTCGTCCTGTTTGGGACTCGTTAGCTGGATGTACCGGCATCAGAGTTGATGTTCACTCTGTGAATCGAGGCAATACGCACAGTATGCGCGTATGCCTATTAGAGACTGACTAGTTGCAGTCCTAAAACATCAATGAGAAGATTTAAACAAACAATACTAAGTGAATTTAAACTTCACCCCATAGCACTCAGTAGGCGAATGGATAACGCGATGGCGTTTGAAGCAGAAGGTACTGGGTTCGAGTCCCAAATAGGACGAAAGGGGCGTTCAGGATTCCACTGCTAACCACTATCCATCTTTACTTACCATGTTTGTGAATTAAGACAATATCGAGGCAATACGCACAGTATGCACGTATGCCAATTAGAGACTGACTAGTTGCAGTCCCAAGCATCAATGGGAAGATTCAAATAAACAATACTAAGTGAATTGTTATGACTTGGTTAGTTTTTTTTACTATAATTCATCTGATTACTTGATAATAAAGGTTTTCGAAAACATATTTTCACAATGCGTAGTCTAATTCCCATTATTATTTTTTAAATTTAACTATTCTTATTTCAGACCTTCGAATAATTAAAACTCAAATAAGCATCAATATCTCACTTCTGCTTTACATACAATTAACTTACGTCAATTGTTATTAATTTGAGAAAAAGAGAAAATATTTGTAATCCCATTTGTCGATAATAAACGAGGTGCATTGAATGAACTCTTAATTTTCAATATTTTGTTGGTGTATCAGTTAATCAGTCAGTCACAGCGTAGAACTTTGTAAGTACGTACATACATCAGTTCGAGTTGCCATACCGCATTAGCGCAGAGATGCAGTTGTCGACTCAAATCCCATAATGGTAGAAGTAGTAAGAGTATAAGCAATAATCCGAAAGATTAGGGTTTGAAGATGTTATTGAAGAAGTATAATCCAGTGAATTAAATTTGAAAAGATAGATAGAGGTTTTGGTGTATGAAAATTAATCAACCAAACATCTTATTTGTATCGATCAACTTAATCTGCATATTGTCGTTTGTAATGCCCCCTTTTTATCGTGTTTTTATTTTTATTCGATAAGGATTTCAATGTCATTATAGTTGAATGATTATAATAGTTTACTCTTACAAATAAAAGACTTGATTTGTATCAAGAAGCATATTTTCTCAGGGTTGAAAATTGACCCATTTCTACTGAGTGCATAAGTCTTTTGATGTGTGTTACGTAAGCTAGATTAGACAGTGTCCATGTTAATTAGTCTTTGACCACAACTCAAAAAGTTGTCAGGGTTACGGAATAAAGTACTCTTATTTTTAGCGATGTCAGCTTGTAGAATCCTGTACATAGAACATGGCCCCCAAATGCCCTGGTACGGCCGAGAGTGGCGAAAGTACACTCTCCCTCTCGAAATGCTCTTACATGGCCACGCGTATATAGCCTCTGACATGGAAGTCCTACTCACTGCCTTTTCGTGGCACTACTGTTGTTTACGAAATCGAGAGGATGAAAAGCGAATGTCCGACGCTCCAACCCGGTTGGTGGACACGGAAAGTCCACCTAGGGGAGTTTGAAAACCCTGATTCCAAACTAATTGTGTACATGGGTTCCAGTATCCTGAGAGAGCAAATGGCGTATGAATCAATCGTTGGTCACCGGCTACCATGGGAATGCATCGCCTTACAATGCTCCACTGTCTTGTGGATCAGATGTTTAGGTCAAAGGTACCCTAGGAAAAACACCTGCCTCGGTCTGCGCACCCGGACAGTATCATAGCCCTCACACAATTAAATGAAATGACAATTTTTTGTGTGGAGCATATATATCTGGTGCCCCCTTGTACCAATATTTATATGTTCAAATAAACATAAAACACGACACAACCGATTCACCAATTACTATGAAATTAAGTTCCGATTAAAAGTTCAGCATATATTTCAAATTGTTTAACGTTGTATTTTGTATATAAGCTTCAATATAAAACCATGATAGACGACTGAATTGGGATAAATATCTAGCACGATGATTTATTAGGGTTGGTGGTTTAATGGGAATGAAGTCTTCGAAATAATATACTGAATGTCCGGAATAGATTTCCATGGATTCGGCATCGCGTACACCGTTGTACTGTTCATAGTTTACAGTCTTTTTCGAAGGAAAATAAATACAACACTAGCTTTATTTTTTGGGTTCATTGAACAATTACGAGTTATGAAGATGAACAGAATGGGATTGTATGTTATTTCATTATCCCCTCACCATTGGGCCTCAGAGGCGTCCGGAATATGGTGAAAAATGACAGGTTCGATCAATACTAGGTATGGATTTTGAGCTAGTGTAGTAATGAGTAACAGCTGTCAACCGATATCAAAATCAGAATCTTCAATACGAACGTCAAATGTACGGAGCTGAAACTTGGAGAGCTAGGAGAACCATCATCAAAGAAATACAAATATTTATAAACAATTATCTAAGCAAGGTACTCAATGTATGTTGACCAGATATCATCAGCAACAGCCTACTGTGGAAGGGAACAAATCAGCTGAAGAGGAAACTAGGAAAAGATGCTGGGAGTGGACAGTACATACATTACGAAAGTCACCAAACTGCATCACGAGGCAAGCCGTAACTCGGAATTCTGATGGTAAACAGGAAAGACGGAGGCCGAAAAATACACTACGTTGGGAGTTGGAAGCAGGAATAAAAAGGATGAATAGTAACTGAAAAGAATTGACTAGGACAGTTTTCGATGGAGAATGTTGGTGGGCGGTCTATGCTCCTCCACGAGGGGTAACAGACGTAAGAAAATAAATAGTGATGTGTACATCTTGAAACGATATACAGATAAAGTAAATAAGGTTTTAAAATACCACAACTGTTGTTAATGAAGCTTAGCTTAATGAGACCTTACTGCCGGAGACGGATATCTGTGGGATAAGGCGAGGTGTGCATTTTTAGGGTCGATCTTTTCTAACCACACCCCTCCTTGTGGGAAGGCAGCATCGCTGTTATTCTGGCTGTCTGAAGGAAACACCTTACTGCTATCACACCTTTGTACAGTCAGCAGTACAACTTCGGACCTTGGGTTTGCAGCTTTTAGTCTTACCGCTCTTTAACCGGCCTGTCTGGCATGGTAGGACAATGAGGGGCGATTGTTCCAGCCAGTATAGCTCGATTGCTTTATCACGATAGGCAAGCTCAACCACCAGCTCAAGGTAGCAACAACGGTCGGAGTCACCGATTAGCATCATTAACTTCTACACAAAATGTTGCCCAATCCCGTGATTGTGCATTTTGTCATTTTCCTAAGTAACGCATATTCAGGAACTAACATTTCAAATTTTTTATCGCAATCGGGCATGCTAATTGCTATCATTATATTTCCACAAAGCAATGTAAGAACTGATTATCCATTACTCTTGAATATTTGATCGGTATTATTGTGAACTTCACATCAGTTACCACTGAGTGTTGGGATTAGATGCAAGAACCTTGCACGTTAGAGACATATTTTACTGTTGAATTCAAAAACAATTCAGTTCTATGGGATCTAGGAATACCTACCAAAATTTTATAAAAAATCATTGACACATATGACAATAGGATACCGGTTGTATTTCTGCGGTAGTTGACAACCAGTATACACTCGTTTGGAATGTTCTTTTGACTACTTTAAGATCATGAATACGTCGCTTGGCTAACTACTTAAAGCTGAATGCTATTTACCTACATTTTTTCTATTTACTGTCACTTTTTATACGTTAAGCTTGGTATTTCTTGTGAAAACAAAATATTCCGAAACTTCCTAGCTTAAAAACGAATACATCTAGACTCGTATAGTGATGATTATTAAACAGAAACTACGAACGTGCTCATTTGTAAGCCACATATTATGTGGCAATAACCAGCATTACTCAGTTAACAGATGGCGAATGCTTCAACTATATGAGTCAATTTGAGAGTGGATTAGTCCAATCCTATGACCTAATAAATAATTAGTCAGTTCATTAAATTATAATAACCAAAAACAAAACAAAATGACCACTATCTATAAAATAGAACACATTTCTTTAGGTAAGAAAGATGATTCAAATTATTATACATAGTCTACAATCATTTACAGGTCTTTCATCACATTCTTTTTTGTGATAACGAAAGCTTTTGAGCCAGTTCTTCATCCAACCGCCTTTTAAAATCAGAATACGACATCCGACCTTCTTGGTTACGCTTGAACTTTAAATGATGGCATGTTATACTGGAGTAACGTTATGTTACGTAATAGGATTTACTTAGCACATGTGGATATAAATAATATGGACACTAAACCGACTTGCACACCACGACGGAGGTTACCTAAGGTGGCAAAATTGTAGAAAAATTATTCGTTGTTTACTTGTTCGCAGAAAATCGACAATTCCAATAGTAAACCCGCCAAGACCACCCCATAATAAAACGGGCTTTCGACAATCGGGATTCATATTACTTTAAAGTTTGTCATTTAGTTTATGTATGAAGAGATCTATTTCTGGAAAATAGGTAAAAAAAAATCCGTGAATTATAATTTTGAGACCGCCAAAAACTAGTTTCCAAAAATGCACATCACCGTTTATATTTCTATACAAACAAAGTGAAAAGCTATGTACCACTAGAAAATAATGTAATTTTTTGATTGAGATTATGAGTCGACTGATGTTAGATCCCTATTGAAAACCTGGAAGCACTGGACGGTCGTTCCGTTCTAATATGAGACTCATCAGCAGAGCGCGCCCATGGTCCCACTCGCGAGATTTGGACCCAGAACCTTCGGTTCTGCGTGCAAACGCTTAACCTCTACACCACTGAGTTGGCATCCAACGGTGTTATTGTCTAACTTCAACCAATCTACGTAATTGCGCGACCATCTTATAATTGTTGAAAGTAAGAGCGAATACTTAACATGACTACAACTTTAGATTATGCGAACGGCTGCAATTTCACTATAAAACAAACAAGAAACACTACCGACGATTTGTTTCGAAATTTTAGCCGCTTGGAAGTAATATGAATAAAAGATAATCTGAAACACTAATATGTAAAATTTGCTGGACAATCTTTTACGTACTACATACACTACGAACCTAATGACAGCAGTGGATAGATGGACCACAATCAGTCATCATAAGAGTAAGGTCGATATAATGTAACTTGCTTTTAGAAAGCTAGTAGGGACGATCATATGTCTTGTCAGTAAGCTCAACCTTATAGTTATCCAGTCGCCAGTAATAGACTGACCTAGGTCATGTCTAAATAATCGGCTATTTAAGATCAGTATAAATTACTTATCTTTCAGGCTATAGAATGTTCCAGTGGAATCCAACAGTGTCCAGTACTAAAAGCTTTCCAATATATATATGAATGGCCTTTCCCAGGAAACATACTCTGAGATATCACCTTTTTCTGGTGATGTACATCGGGCATGATATTAGTTACCATTATACCATTAATGGTACATCTCTGCCACGCGTTCATGAGCACAAAGACTTAGGAGTAATTATAAGTCACGACTTAAAAACTACTACACACTGCAATGCGGTTGCTTCCAAAGGATATCG